TGGCGGCCCGGGGCTCGCTGCTGCTGCTGCTGCTGCTCGCCGCCCTCGGGGCCTGCCGCCTGCGCCTGGCCCGTGCCGGTGAGTGCCTTTCCCTTTCCACCCGTGACACCCCCCCGCGTCCCCGTGGATGGCCGCGTCCCCGTCCCCGAGGGCCCGCCCGGCTCCACCCTGTGCGGTTGTTCCCCCGTCCCCACCCGGCCGAGGGCTCGGCATCCGCAGGCGCTCAGGGTACCGGCCCGCTGTGCCCCCCGTCCCCTGCCTGCCCCCCCCCACTCAGCGGGGGAGGGGGTGGGGCGGGAAGCTGCCGTGGGTCAGGGGCCTCTCGGCGTTCTCCCGCCGGGCAGCACGGTCGCGCATCCCCGCGGCCTGAAAGCGAGGTGGGAAACGGCCCGTGGGTTCCCCCCACCCCCCTCAACGGGGTTTGATCTACGCCCACCCCCCAGCTCCCGGGCGGGCCCCGCAGCGCTCCCCGGGGACGGGCACTGCCATCGCAGGGGCCCTGGCAGCGGGTGGCACCGGCGCAGGGCTGGCCCCCGGCAGCGTTTTTGGGGTGGCGGGAGGTACCTGTGGATGTGGGGCCTGATCTCGGAGTGGGGACAGACCGCGGGCTGGTGGGAGCGGCCCCGGGCTGTGGCCTTCGTGAAGCACTTTTATTGGAGGAAAAAGAAATGAAAACCAAAACCCACCAAAACAAACAAAAAACGCTCAAATGAAGCCGCGGTGGTGGTCGAGCCATCTGATGGAGCCGCCGGGAGGCTGTGCCAGGCCAGGAGCACCCCGGTACCTCACCGGGCTGGAGCCGCTCCAGGGGCTGGATCGGTGACGGAGGCATTTCTTCTCTCTCCTGGGGCAGAAAAAAATGCGTGGCTTTCGGTTCCCTCCCAGCAGCATCGCCTTCAACCTCCTCGCCGTTTTCTTAAGGATTGGTTTAGGGGGTTTAGGGTTTGGGTTTGGTTTTTTTCAGTTTTGGGGTCTGGGTTAGTGCCTTTCCCCTCCTGGCGGGTCTGGCACTGGACGTGCGCCGTGTCCCCTTGCTCTGTGCCCACTGCCGGGTTGTGCGGGGCCACGACGGGTGTAAACTCCACCCCTCCGAAAACCCCAACCAGCCCCAAGCATCGCTGCCTGTGGGGAGACCTGGGGGCTGCCCCCCTCTGCCCACGCCGCGGAGGCCGGGGCTGGGCGCTGCGGTGGCCCTGCCAGCGGGACGGCCTGTCTCTGGGCAGGTGCTTTCCGCCTCGCTGGCTGCAGGCGCCGGGGAGCTCCTCCTCGCTCCCAGCATTGTTTGCGGATCCGATATTGTTTTCCCTGCTCTGGCTCGCCAGTGGGGCGGATGCCGGGCCGGCATCCGGAGACGGTGCGGCCTTGTTGTGCTCTTGTCTGCTCAATGGCAGCGCAAGAAGGTACTTTTTTTTTTTTTTCTAAATCTCCCAGCAGTTCAAAATATCTGAGTATGTCCGTACTGGGGGGCCAGAGGTGGGGTGGGCATGCTCCTGCGCTATCCCTCTTCCCGCTTGCTGAGGCCAGGGTGGCCTGGGGTGCTGGTGACGCAGGCTGCGATGGGAGGAAGGAGATCCTTGCTGCCCTGGTGCAGCCACCAGCGAGCCAGCATAATCTCTGCTGTCTCCAAATTTAAGGGTTGGAGGAGGGGGGGATAAGGTGGCCCGGTCCCCTCCAGGGGCTGCTGAGGGGGGAGAGGAAGCAGAGTTTCCCCCTCCCTTCCAAGTCTCAGGGGGCTGCCGGGGACTAGTCAAGCACTGAGGGGCCTCGCTCTGCCAGCAGCAGCCTGCTCCAGCGCTGGGTATCGCACATTCCCAGCACCGGCAGGGTTGGGATGGATGGCTCAGCCTCTTTCCCCCAAGCAAAGCCTGGGAAGGGTTTCTTTGCATTGTTGTATCACCTGGAAATGTCTACGGCAGCATCCCGCTACTGGGAGGTCGGGTTTTTGTGGCACACGGAGCTGGGGAGCTCTGGGCTGGGTTCTCCTGGGAATGGCTGGAGGAGCACCTCTGGGATGGCTTGGGTGCCTGGAGGGGCATCCCTGGGATGGCTGAGCAGGGAAAGGAGTCACTGTCCAGTCCCCTCAGCCTTCCAAGTGTGGCAGGTTAGAGGAAACATTGGCTCTTTCTTTCCATTTTCTAATTTTCCTTCCTGGGCAGATGGGGCAGAGCTCGGCTTTCTCTGGGGATGGCTGTGAGGTGGAGGTGGCAGAGACAGAGGTGGCTCCTGCTCGAGGCTGGGCTAGTGAAGCTGGGTCCTGGTAAGGAGAGAGCCGGGGAGAAGGTGGTGGACCACTGTATCTGTGTCCTCCTGCCTCTGCAGCATCAGCAAAGCTTCAAACAGAGGCTGGCATCTCCTCCCCACCTGCATCTGCCAGAGCTGCAACCCAGAGGCCCCTGCAATAGATACCATCTCCCGGGATGCAGCGGCACATCCGAGGGATGCCAAGGACAGGGACATCCTCATCTTGCCGAGGGCATGATCTGACCTGGAGGAGGGGCAGCAGCTGGCTTTGGAGGTGATGCAGCCAGTGGTTCAGTTTTTGTTGGTTCTCCTTAGTTGTGTTTTTTCCCCACATATCCAGCACACCTGGCTTTGGGCAGAAATGCTTCCTCGCCTATTTTCTGGCCGCATTTCCTGGAGCATTAGTGAGAGTCGGACTTCTCACCCCTTCTTGAGTAATTTTGTTGCCAAATGTATTATTATTATAAACAGAAAAAGATTTTCCAAGTGGGATGACGGGCAAGAACCTCTTTTTTTAATAACCCTGAAAACCCTGGCTCTGCTGCCGCAGCCAGCACTTTGCATCAGAAATACACAGAGAACCTGTTCAGCAAAAAATGAGTGGTTCTTTCTGGTCCAAGTGACCCATTTGGCCATGTGTGAACCGCCAGATCCTCGCTGCCTCTCCTCCTCGTGCCACTCCTCAGGGGTGCAAGTGGGAGCACGGATGCTGGTGCTGTCATCAGCTGCCCCAGCTCTACGGTGGTGGCTGTTCCCAGGGACCGTCACCCTTATCGCTGAAGCTGGGGCAGCTCCCAGTCCCTCCTGGGAGCCGGGCAGTGGTGGGACACTGCACCTGTGGCACTTGCCAGGGACTGGCTGCCCTGCAGCGCTTCCCAGGGCTCTGCTTGGGGGCGGGCAGGGGGTGGTCTCTGAGCCCCCCGACACCGTATGTGTGGGTCTGCAGAAAGCAGATATTTCCAGCCCCAGCTTTTCCTCAAGACACAGAGAAGGTTGTCTGTGTCCCCTTGGTAGTGCAATGGTCCTGCTCAGCGGCATGCACCCACCCCCTCCCTTCGAGCTGCCCCGTGGCTGCAGGTCGGGTTGTGCTCTGCCATGCTGGTGCAGACCGTGTTTCCCAGCCAGGGTGCTGCCTCCCTGGGAGCTGTGCGTTGCTCCCCAGTTTCATTTTCTGTGCGATTTTGTTCTTGGGAGTTAACGTTCCCCTCCCATTTTCTGGGGTGACATTTGCTCAGCTGGCTCCCACTGTGAGAAATGAGCCCTCGTAGGTGGGTCGGGGGTGGGGGAGCTGGGGATGTGTCCCCCACAGGACTCTGCGGGTCAGTACCTGCACCAGGGACCTGGGCAGGGCTCCATCTGCAGCTTCCTCTGGGGAGGGGGAATGGATGGGAAGAGACCCCTGATCTCTGTCATCCAAATTCCCAACATGTTCAACATCAAGGAAGAGTTTATGGGAGAGACGTGGTGAAAGTTCCTCCTTTCCTTTCACTGCAGCTTACTGGGGACACACAAACCCCTGTGCGCCCAGCCGTGCCCTGTGGCTGCTGGTGTGGGGACAGCCAGACTTCGGGGAGGGGATACTGTGGTCCCACAGCCTGGGGGATGTGGGGGTAGTGCTGTGCAGGGTCAGGCTTTTCCAATCCACAATTTCCTTGGCAGCTCTGGGTGTGGGTTTGGGATCTGCAGGGGTGGGTTGGGAGCCGTACCCTGGCCTGACCCCAGGGCTGCGCTGCTTGGAGGGGGCTCCCTGGGGCTGCCATGGCCCCACAGAGCCCACCCTCCGGGGGGACACTGGGGCCCTTACCACAGCATCAAGGGCGGGGCGGGATGAGTCCGGGATGTCTGCCAGAAACGGCTCTTCTGGGCCATGGGGGTATTAAGGGAGGTGATCGGCTTAGCTCCGATGTGCGCTTACGGGGGGGCACTGGGGACAGGAGGGGTTATGTGGATGCTGGGGACAGGAGGGGTGACAGCATGATAGGGGCACTGGGGATAGGGAGGTTGATAGTGCTGGGGACTAGAGGGGTCGTGGGGATGTTGGAGATAGAAGGGGTGCCAGGGACGGGAGGGGTGGCAGTGTGGCAGGGATAATGGGGACAGGAGGGATCATGGGGTGGCTGGCATGATGGGGACAGGAGGGAGGTGGGGACACTGGGGACAGGAAGGGTGATAGTGTAGTGAGGTCGTGGAACAGGAAGGTTGAGGGGGCTGCTGGGGACAAAAGGGGTGATGGGGATGTTGTGGATAGGAGGGGTTATGGTGGCGATGGGGACAGAAGGGGTGACAGGGTGGCCTCTCCCCAGGTGCAAGGCACTGGATCCCTGGGCACTGAGGACAGGAGCTGCCATTGGTCTCATCCCTGCATTCATCCCGTAAACACAGTGCCCCGGTGCTTTGTCCCCGCAGGGGCTGTCCCTGATCCCCCATGGGTGACATGGCTCCCTCAGGCTGGCTGTCCCCTGGGGCACTGCCCCAGTGTCGGGGCATCTGTCTGGACTTTACCGACCAACTGCTGCTGCTGCGGGTGTGACCAGAGCACCAAATAGCAGCAGCAGGCCTGTAATTAGCCGCTTCATGAGCTAATGATAATTGCAATGGGAAGAAACTGGCCGTTAAGTGCCTGGAGTGTGCTTTGAATTGGAGGAAGTGCGTGCAGCCAGAGCAGGTCCTGGTCCCTGCCTCTTCCCATCCCAGAGCACTGTGGCCTGGCAGCTGCCCGCCCACCCCATGGCGTGTCGCTCTCCGGCACAGATGGAGGGGGGCTAATCTTTTGTGGGACCAAAAGGTCCTGTGCTTTGGTGGGGGGGACCCATTGCTTCAGGCGGGTGACATGAGAG